CTACATAACTCCCTGTAAACAAATCCTGTAAAGCTTGTGTAATTGGTGAAAGTGGAGGCAAAGCTACCTTACCATTATGGCAACATAGAAAATGTGTTTCATCTGGAAATTTTTTAGCACCACAGTGCTGACAAATTTGATTCATTTCTCCTAAATAATTATAATCTGGAATAGCATTACTTTTCGCTATAGAATACATTCGTCCTTGTCCAACAGCTCTTCTTTCATTTTGGCAACGATTAACATTATCTCAATCGAGCCTATTTCTTTCATTTTGGCGACGATTAACATTATCTCGATCGAGCCTATTTCTTTCATTTTGGCGACGATTAACATTATCTCGATCGAGCCTATTTCTTTCGTTTTGGCGACGATTAACGTTCTCTCGATTAAGCCTATTTCTTTCATTTTGTAAACGAATAATTTCATCTCGCCTAAGTCTATTTCTTTCTTTTCGTCTACGACTATTTTCAACACGCCTTATAGCACTTACATCGTTTTGTAAATACATAACTTCATCTAGCCTATCATTCATTTCAATGTCATCATTTTGATTAAACATATTTATCAAAGCAACACTAATTATTTCTTTTTTTTACTACTCTAAAGTTAACAATAAAATAAAAAAACTTAATAAATAACTAAAAAAATCTTACTCAAAAAATTAAAAAAAAAAATTCTCAAAACAAATATATAAAGAATCCAAACTAATGCAAAATAAAATTAGTTTGCCATCATCAAAAGTAATACAGGTTTCTTAAGTTTTTATTAGCAAGAACATATGAAAACCATTTATTAGCAAAAACATATGAAAACCAAAAATTTTTATATAATATATATAGTATATTTGATGAATAAACCTCTACAATTTTTTTGGTTCAACAACTTGATTATGATTAATAACAATTCTGTAAATATAAATTTTTTAATGATCTAAATCTTTATAAAATATATATTTTATTTTATATCTTAATTTTAAATTAAGCAAATTATATTTATCTTAACAAGAAATTAAATCTTTATAAATTAGATATAAATAGAAAAACAAATATATATATAACGTAATTATATCCTAAACCAAAATTCAATCATGCTAGACAAATTATTAAATTTTTTGAAAAGAAAAAAACATATTTTTTTTCAAAGAGCCAAAGTAATAACAATACTATAGATAAGTTTTATTTATAACAAAATGTTGTCATGGCTTTTATCCCAATTATTAAAAGCATTTGAAAGCATGAAACTACCCATAAATATCTTTTAATGGTAGACACCATCTAAGAATTATAGTAATCTATATTTTCAAAATTCACATGTATAACACGAAGCTTCAAATTTAAAAGTACAATTTAAAAAAGATTACAATAAACTAATTACTTATAAAATTTTAAAAAGATTTTATAAATACTCAATGTCTACTTAAACATTTTAAAAAGATTACGATTTTGAAAACTTGAATCTTTAAATTTAAATTTTAAAAAACTGAAACTTTAGTTCTACCTTAAAGAAAACAGATATATATTAAAAAGTATTTTTATTTCTTTTTAAAAATTTAAAAATGCTTTTAAACTTTCTCCCTCCAATATAATTATATAATATTATAGTATATATGATAAATAAACCTCCCCAATTTCCTTGGTTTAACAACTCGATTATGATTAATAACAACTCTGTAAGCATGAATTTTCTAATAACCTAAATAAATTACAGATAGACAAACATAAATAACACAATTAAATCCTAAACCAAAATTCATTCATGCAAGACAAATTATTTTATATTTATTGAAGAGCCAGAAACATATTTTTTTTCAAAGAGCAAAAGTATTAACAATATTAAAGATAAGTTTTATTTATATCAAAATTTTCAATAAAAATTAAATTAAGATAAATTTATAACAAAATGTTGTCATGGCTTTTATCCCAATAACCAAAACTATGTGAAAGCATGAAACTACCCATAAATATATTTTAACGCTAGACACAATCTATGAATTAAAGTAATCTATAACACGAAGCTTTAAATTTAAAATTACAATTTAAAAAAGATTACAATAAATTAATTACTTTTAAACTTAAAAAAAATTTTAGAATACCTATAATATTAAGCTACTAAACATTATCTACTTAAAATCAACTTGGACATTTTGAACTCGTACCATGAAAGGTTGAAAGGAAATCTTTAAGAATGCACGCGGTAAAGAAAAGTCTAGAAACTACTTAAAAAGTATATTTTACAGATACAGAACCGTACCTATTAATACCGTAGAATACCGTACCTATTAATACCGTAACTATAAAACAATACGCGTAACTATGCGGACTAATAATAATAAAATAATATTCATTCGGCTATTCATTATAGAGATAACATTGGTATAATTAGTTTTTAGCGGTGGCAGGGGCTTTAAAGCTGATTTAATAGCAGTATCCTGGGTATGCTGAGCCTAAAATATCAAAATATTTTATGGATAAAAAATTACTTAACTAACCGTCTAAGCTGTTGCAATAAATAAAACATTACCATTGACTAAGATCAAAAATCGGTATCAAAATTTGAGTCTTCAAAAGCTGTACGAAGTGAATGAATTAAAAAAAAATTGGATAATAAATTCTTTAAAAAAAAAAAACGTAAAAAACTAAACATAAAAAGATATAAACATGTTTATAAACATGGTTTTGCATTTTATATCTACATTAACTGGAAGCACTCGTTGTTTATTTAAGCCATGAACTGGCTCGAAATAAGTTTGTATAAAATTTATTGTTTTTAACATCCAACAACATTGGCGTATTTAAAAAATGCCTGTGTAAAAAAACATTTTTTAGTTTTATAAAAAACGTTTTCAAAATATCAAAATATTTTATAGATAAAAAATTTTATTAAACAAACTGTTACAATAAATAAAACATTACCATTGACTCAGAACAAAAATCTGTATCAAAATTTGAGTCTTCAGAAGCAGTACGAAGTGATTGAATTAAAAAAAACTTGGATAATAATTTCTTTTAAAAAAAAATCATAATAAACTAAATAAACAGAAGATATAAACATATCTATAAATATTTTATATTTACATAAACTGGAGGCAGTCGTTGTCTATTTAAGCCACGGACCGGGTTGAAATAAGTTTGTATAAAATTTATTGATTGTTTTTTAATTTTCATTTCATAAACAAACTTTCAGGGCGTCATAGTTGCACATTGCAAAACTAAAACCTAATCATATAAATAAATTTACAAAATAAAGCTTTGTATTGTAATTATTAAACAATACAATCAAGTTATGGTGATTCAAATTTACTTTTATCATATTAACGTTGTTTATTGAGTTTATCTGATAAATCAATATCAATTGTTAAATATATGTTGAAAGAAAAAGACGCTTTAGATATGCTTTTTTTTGTCCTAAAATGCTTGAAATATATACTGTAGTAATATAATAGTAATATCTAATTTTAGTACAAAATATTAAAACATTGCTGGTTCTTTAAACATACCTTGTTAAACACAATTCAAATTGTTTAAGTATTATTATATTTAAATATTTACAACATAAAATTTACTATGACATAAAAGCAAAATTATCATTACATTAAAATATTTGACTCATTACACAGTCATTGAGAGTAAACCCTTAAATATATTATTTGCAAATGGTATAATAATGTACTCACTGCCATTATTGAAACAAATACATTTATTTACGATCTTTACACCAATTACCATGATATTACACAGAGTATAGATACCTATACCAATTTAACTTGAAGGATAAAGATGAACAATTACTATGCTACGACTGACTAATAGACTCTTTTTTATTAAACTTTATTTTTATTAAATTAAAGCTTTTTAACAATTGCAACGCCATGAGAGACAAAAACCACGCTTATAAAAACAGCGCATTAACAAAAATTATTCCGTCAAATGTTTTTCTTTCGCGTTTTAAAATTTCGTAAAATATAAGTCGATTAAGGGCTAGCCTTGATTTTTTCCTTACCGATCTTTTATAAGGATTTGCCCTAAACAAACCCTAATGTTTAAAATATACATACATGTATATATATACATGTATGTATATATACAATAAATGCAATGACTTAGTTAGTATATACCCTTATATTGTAGTATATATATATATATATATATAATATATATATATATATATATATATATATATATATATATATATATACTACAATATAAGGGTATATACCCTAAATAACTAAATCGTCGAGATTTCTCCAAAAACTTAATTAATCTTGTAATCATTTTATTTTAACATTGAAATTAACATAATTATAAAGCAACTAATATTGTAAAACATTTAAAGAAAGAAAAAAATTAAAGAAAAAAAAATTGTGTTTATAACGAATTTTAAATTTTTGCTGCGATTCGTAATGCACTTTTCATATCATAAAAACTTTTTACTTTTTTATAATAGGGGTCAAATAATATATATTTCAACTCATCTAAATTTTTTAAGATTTTTTTTTTATTTATTTACTAATTTGTATAATGTACTATGCTTTTTTTATGTTTGTTTTACGCTTGTTGTATTTTTTAAGACAATCACTTTGAATTGTTTACTTTGATTTTGTAAAAGCCTGTTTGGCTTCGTCCTAATAACTGATTGGTGAGCATTATTCCCGCGTCGCATTGCATGCTTCACTTTGTGTGCCATGCGCTGATTTGAAGTTTTGATTTGTTTTCTTGCGTGTAAAAGATGTTTGTATAAAATGTAAGTTATGATTGTAACAAAAATTATTTATTTATCCTTAACGTAAATTGGTAATGTGTTTTAATTATTCAATATTTAAACTTACAGTGATATTCTTGTTGCTAATCCTAAACTTATTTGTCGCCTGTGCTGAAAGATTTAAAGTTAAGTACATTTTGACATAGGGCTTGTTGTTTTGGGTTTCCTCTTTTATTTATAAATGCGTAGTGCAAGTATTTTTATTATCCCTTATAATTTTATATTTGTTTATATATTAGTGTAGTTTGTGCTTGCATCAGAGTTCCCTTTTAAGTAAAAAGCATTGCATTGTTAATATATGTATGGTTTATATACATGTCAAGTTTTGCTGGGAAACGACAAATTCGAACGATTACGATAAATTTTTTAAAAATGTATGTGAAAGAGCTTATGATTGTATAAATAATTGTAGCCTGAGTAATAACTGATTTGAGGAACTTTGTTGTTTCAGAAAGGTTTTAATAAATTTGAAAAGCTAAAGTTTAATGATAATTTGATCATTCTGATAGAAGATGAAGATTACAGAAAATTGCAACTAAATTTATTTTTTGTTCAAATAGAATATAAATGTAGTTGAAAAATTAAGAATAGTGATAAGAAAGAACTTCAATCTTTTTTTTCTTTGCAATATATTTGGTTTTGATCCTTGCAATTAAATACAATTGAAAACTTAATAGAAAGCCTGAGAAAGGAAAAACAATTTATCAAAATTTCAAATGTGCCAATCACAATAATAAAGTTTTTTCGCTTATACAATTGATGTGCTAGTTAAAAGTTTAAAAAAGTTAGGTATAGTTTTTACTATGTACTCTCGAGTCCTTAATAAAAGAGGAGGGGGACGTTTATTATTTTTTTTAAATATATTTCCACCCACCCCAAGCTTATTAAGACCACCCTATCCCCCATTGTTTAATAATTTTAACTTGTTATTAACAAAAACAACAAAAATCAGTGAAAATTAGCTTTAAAAGTTAAAAAAAAATAATTGCAGTAATTGATAAAAATAAAAACTATCAGTGTAAAAAGTGTATAAACTATCACTGTAAATCGCCCACTAAGTAAATCTTGACTTGTCAAACATGGGATTTTGGTTTATTTCTCACCAAAGTTTAAAACTTATATCAGCATATTAGTTCCTATAGAAATTATTACAAAACATTATTTAAAAAAATGCGCCTTTGACCACAAGCCACGTGGTCTTCGAAGTAACTATTCTTCTGTTGAGTCCTATCTCTTGCAAAGTTCACCAGATTTGCTTGCTCTTTGTTAGACTACTTTGAGTTCAGCTGTCTCATCTTGTGATCTTAGTGTTGATGGTTATCTTCCTTTAATTCGTAAAGACTCCAATAGTCACATGCTTGGCCTAGGCATTTACATTCGTAAGAATTCACCCATTTGTCGGGAAACTAGGTTTGAATCCACAGACTACTCTTTTATGTGCTTTCGTTACATAAAAGAGTAGTCTGTGATTACATAAAAGAGTAGTCTACAATATTATTGCTTTTTTTTATTTGTTTATGTATACTTATGCATGTTGAGCACAAGAATTAAATTGTTTTATGCATGTTTTGTAAAAATTAATAGTGTGGATTTACAAACTGATATTTTTATAAAAAATACATTTGATGTGGCATTTTTTGATGTGGCTGCAGTAAAAAAAAATTAACATACACTGTTAAAAAATTTACTGTAGATTCTACGGAGATTGTCCGGCAGAAAAGTGACAGCACTTTCTCCGTAAAAATTAACAGTCTCCGTAGTTTTTATTTTCCGTCAAAATTAACGGAAAAAGTCCGTTAAAAAAGTTACAGAACTTTCTCAGCAAAATTCACGGTTTCCGTATTTCATTTTTTACATGCAAATTAACGGAAAAACCCCGTTAATTCAGCAAATAGACATTTATTTAACTCATTTATCAGAGTTTACGCTTAAGTCAAAAATAAATGAATAGAATTTATATGTTGTTATAAAAATGTAATTCGACTATTAAGAAACTACTCATATGATACGCATATAGTAATAATAGTTATAATAATTATAAACAAATTATTTTATATTATAGTGGTTATTATATATAATTGTATTTTATATACAATATAATATTTATGGTAACAAATAATATTATATTATGACAAATTATACTATTTTATAAAAGTTGTTATATATATTACGTTATAATTGTTATAATAAACATAAACATAACGTCTTTTGATCTATTGATGCTCTGTCCACTCAAGCGTTAGTTCGTTTGCAAAACTCAAAACTTTGTAAATCGCCCACCTAGTAAATCTTGACTTGTCAAACATGGCCTTTTGGTTTATTTCTCACCAAAGTTTACAACTTATATCAGCATTTTAAATCCTATGGAAATTATTACAAAACAGTAGTTAAAAAAATGCGCCTTTGACCACAAGCCACGCTAGAATTAAATAGTTTTATGCATGTTTTGTAAAAAAATAATAGTATGGATTAAGAAACTGATATTTTTATAAAAAATACACTTGATGTGACATTTTTTGATGTGGTTGCAGTAAAAAAAAAATAACGTACGCTGTTAAAAAATTCGCCGTAGATTCTACGGAGATTGTCCAGCAGCAAAGTGACAGCACTTTCTTCGTAAAAATTAACGGTTTCCGTAGTTTCTATTTTTTAAAGTGTACTCATAGATGTGGGCTTCTATTTGGCAGTGGTTTTCGGCTGATTTATATTTCTCCATCGTTACCTAAAATCCTTTTTCTCCCCACAGTCGGTAGAAAGCCAACAGTATTAAGATATGGTTCAGTTTTTTATATTAATGTTAGATAATTTTTTAATATATTTAACATGCATTAATACTTACACTTAAGCTGATCGTTTCGATGATAATATTTCCTTAAAAGTAAGTCAACTTTTTCTTTTTCTACCTATAATTTTAAAGCTGACTCTGAAATTATTGATGAATTTCTTCGGATTGATAGCTAGGTCAAAAATATTTAAGAAATATAAAATTCATGAAACAAAAACATTAGGAATAATAATCCGTTTGATAATAATAAGTGTCGGTGTGTAGTTAAATTTTGTATTCAAGCAAATTCATTCATCTCAATGCTTTAATACTTAACCTATAAAAAAACTTTGTTAAGTAAGTGACTTCTCTAATGCTATAAACATACATACTTCTTGTCCTAGAACAGACGACCCTCAGAGCAAAGTAGCTCACAATTCTCACAATATATTTATTAAGTTCACAATTTATTTATTAAATTCAACATTAAAAAATAATTAAATTTACAATATATTTATTAAAATAAACATTAAAAAATGTCTACTACCTAATTGCACTCTTTTTTGAGTGAGATTTAGTGGTAGATGACGCTGTCTTTAAGGGAAGTAGGCCATCAAAATCTCTTGTTTTTGATGGCCTGCTTCCCATAAAGGCAGCGAACAAGTTCTATTTATTCATAGTTGATGATCATTTCATATACTTGTTTGCACTCTTATTTCTAAATTATCTCACTGAAATAAAATGGGCAATGGTGTCAACAAGACTCAAACAACATCTTATCGGTCGCGAGGAAATGGTTAATGTGAAAGTGTGACCTACCATCATGAAAACAATAAAATTAGCCTTACAAAGCTTTGAGTTTTGAGTAAAATTGATTGAGAACTGGTGGTTCCCGCTATTCTATCCTCCGTTAGATCTTTGCGATGCACAGCTACAAATTCTAACACTAGCTCCTAGGTACTCTCAAGTCCTTATTACAAAGAGGGGGTGAAAAATTTAGTCTAGATCTAATAAAAAGGGGGTTTACACTAAATGTTTTTGTTTTTATCAGTGACTGAAATAATTGTTTTCTATTTTTTAAGGACAATTTTCACTTAATTTCTTTTTTATATAAATATAAATTTTTTTTGATAACACGTATAAAATAATAACTTGGGGGGGGGGTCTTTAGCTGATGTTGGGTAGGAAAACTTTCCAAAAATTAATAAACCTTCCTTCCCCACCCCTCCCTTTTATATTAAAGACGCAAAAATAACAAACTAATGGCTTCCAAACGCGCAATCGTCAATGATAATGATTACCCAACTTCATTGTAGACTCGGGTACATATAGTGAGGTGTTTAGTAATCCAAACCACCCCACTGCATAATGGGGTAATTTGGATTTAAATAAGTTAACCTGTTCTACAAGCGATTCTTCTTTTTGTTGTAAATGATTTGTAGATTGTATGCAGAATTAAAATACTGCACTTAACACCAAGCGGAACTCCCTACATTAAAGAAATAGTTTAATCCACCTGAAAACTTAAAAGTATCTTTCCTACCCAAAAAAGATAGTACAACAGCTATAAACAATAGCAATAACATACAGGCTGATGAAAGTAACCTGAAATCAACAAAAATTTTCGTTTCCCATCTGCTACTAATGAATTACCTTTTCCTAATAAAACAACTACAAATACTAGTGGTTCTGAGTAGTAGCCCTGGTGATAATACTACTCAGAACGAACCGGATATTTCAAACCACCCATATCGTATTAGAAGACCTCCATGATGTTACTACATAGCCATTCATTTTTAATGCTTCGTTGATATATCATGCAGAGAAATATCGTTTCTGAGAAGAAATTTATTATAAAATGTTTACAAACTTTACACAGAGTTGATTTAAATCGTAGTTGACGAGAGATTATTATTTGTTTAATAAATGTGAAAACATTTAAATGATAGTGGTTTCAATCTAAGAAAACTCAAGTCTAACTCTTCAGAATTTGAAAATTAAACTAACCGCCACAACATTATTACCCATTCATACCTGAATGTCGTTAAAACTCTGGTTTTGTCTTTAAGTGTATTACTTTAAATTATGCTTGTTTACTATTTATTAAGGATTGTTATGATGATTGTACAATTAATAAAGTTTGAATTTTATATTCACTTTTGGCATTAATCATTCAATTTTATTAGATTTTGTATCTCGCTTACTACTCACTAAGTGCATGCGTTATGGGTATTCGTCAATTATACATACTGAAAATAGTTATAAATTTAAATCATCTAAAACTCTATATATCGCTAACAACAATTCTAAAAGTAAAAATATAATGGGCCTCCGCATAGTGAGTAAAGATATTTAAGCGTCTTGTGATAATGATAAATAGGTATTTAAAAAAAGCGTTGAGGATCTCGAGACCTCCATAAAAAAAAACGAACATTATTCTCTGAACTTCAAATGGTTATAAACAATCAGCCATTAACCTATTTGTATAAAAATCAGGGCAATGAAGCATCACACCCAGTTTTTTGTGTTGCTTAAGTTAGTAACATGCAAAAGAGGAAACCAGGTTTAGTTAACCCGTTAACAAACTATATCCTATAGAGTTTACTAATGGGTTCAAAAAAAGAAAAAATTTTGTACTTAACTAGCTCTAATAGCAATATTCATTTTTTAGCATATTTATATATATATATATATTTATATATATATATATATATATATATATATATATATATATATATATATATATATATATATATATATATATATATATATATATATACATTATAAAAGTATTATATTTTGTATATTTTTTTAGCAGATAAATATGAGAAATGAGTAACGAGATATCTTTAAAAAGAAAAATTCAAAACCGGGACAGCTTCCACGACAGCGGCAACAATGACAACAGTGATAACATTTTAAAGCGAAGACGAATGTGTGATAGTGAATCTAATATATTTAATTCTTTAAATGACGAAGGAAGCAATGGTAATATATATATATATATATATATATATATATATATATATATATATATATATATATATATATATATATATATATATATATATATATATATATATATATATATATATATATATATATATATATATATATATATATATATATATAATTATATAATTTTTTTTAAATATGTTAGTATATTTAAAAATTATTTAAACAAATTTATTTTTTTAGACAATTATTTGATAGATCTTAACAAAGCAAAAGAGTATATTCATTTATTTAATACAGAGTTTACAAAAGGTTTTGAAAAGTTGAGCAATCGCCACGACACATCTAGTTTAGTTGAAAAAAAAATAGAGTTTGATAAGTTTTCTAACATAGATTGCGCAAAATACTTAGTTGCTAATTTTGGTGTTCCAAACTCTCGCAAATCATCTTCATTTAATTATTTTATGACTAACAATATTCGTTATCCTTTGCCAAATTCACCACAAGCAGGAGATGGTGTAACAACAAAGCCAATTAGAGTTAGATACAATTCATTTAATGATATTTATATCAAAACTTATAATTTTAGTAATGGAGACGAAGAATTACTCATTAAAAAATTTGCGGAGTTCAATGAAAAATTCTCTAATTTTGTAGAAAGCTTAATGAGTGAAACAAACATAGACGAAATAATAATCGAGATACCAAAAACATTTTTACCTAAAGATCGTTTATATTTAGAGAACTTTGAGTTTTTAGACTTAATTGGTTTACCAGATCAAAGCTCTCAGAATAGAGAGCACGAGAAATCGGCAATCAGAATGAATAGAAACTCAATTGAAAAAGAAGTGGTCGACGCTTTTTTTATGTTTCCAGGCAAGCGCGGTAAATGTGACGAAGAAATAATTAAATACATGTGGAAATGTGGAGCTTTCTCAGATTTATCTGATAGACGACCACCCAAACTAGTTGTTTGCAATAAAATGCGCTCTAACGATTGGAACGATAACAGCGAGTTTGAAAAAATGACACAGGCTTACACTGATGGCACAATACTCAAATCAATTGAAACCAGCTTGTGCAAAATGTTTGACTATAAAGACGAAAAAGACTATGAAGATGATTTTGAGCCATTGGTAATTGATAACAAATTTGAAAGCATAAAAGATATGATAAAAAGGTCAGCATCGGCTTGTATTATTGAAACCTTTAATCAGACAGGGTATAATAATGAAAAATACAATTTTTTTGTATGTAATTTATATAAGATATTTATGGATATTAAAGCTTATAAAGAAAGCAATCTGCATCGCCTAAGCATACATTATATATTGGTTTTATCTAAAGAGTTATTTATTAAATTAAATTCAACAGTTAATCGAATTAGATTAAAGGAAACAAACAAAAGTAAGTATTTTAAGATAAAGCAATTCTTCAAAAGCGACAGTGCAAAACGTTTAATAAAATATATTGGGAGTGAAATTAATGAGGAAATTTTGTGTTTTAAAAACAGTTTGTTTGACGAGTTATCTATACAGGATTTTTTTAATGCTAATTACGAAGAAGAAGACAAAATTAATTACAGAATGGAGTGGTTTAACTTATCAGTTGAGAAATGTCAAGAAAATATACTGTTGCTTATTGAGAAATATGTGCAGGCTATATTCAAAGACATTCTCAAAGATTTGAAAAACGAAGAGTTAGATAACTTTATGCAAATGAGGGATTACTTGGATAGTAAATATCTCAAAAATAGTTTCAAATTGACATTAGATAAAATTTTAAAGCAAATGAAAAATAATTACAAGGCAATAAAAGATATTGACGAGAAGTTAAGTTTATTTAAAAAAAAATGCTGTCATTTTTTGGAAAGCATTAAAAACGAATATAACTATGATGCATATGAGAACGAGAATTTAAGTCAGAGGAGTTCCGATGAAAACAGTAACCTACTAGAGATCCAAGAATGCTGCAAAAAATTAAATGATATTGAAAAAAATGTTTGCATGTTTCTTAAGTCAACAAAAGACACTTTTGAGTCTGACGAAGAATTTGATGCCACATTAATTAATCCACTTCTTCATAAAAAAACTGGATCGCATAAATTGCCGGAAAATAAAGATATAGATGGTTTGGACGTGATAAGTTTTACAAAATACTGTCGAAACAAATTTAATCTTCAGCTATTAGAAAAACTCAAAGCTCAATCAGTTAAAAGCAAAATTACATTGGAATACACGGAGCCAATCAGCTTAGAAAACTACGAGATACAGTTTAACTTAGATAGAGAAAACAAAAAAGTTTCAGTGAGCTATCATAATAATTATTTGGATGAACAATTAAAGTTATTAAAAGATAATTTATATAAAGACGAGACAAATCAGACAAGCAATGCGCTATATCCAATATTTATCAGTTCGGTTCAACGTAGAAACGATTTTGAACCAAATTTGCTAATTAAAGATCTGGGAAGAGTTTTAAAACCAAATAGTTTTTTTATATTTTTATTTATTGAGGGCGGCACCAACCAAAACAGAGAGTTATTTAAAAAAAATATTGATTTCTATAAAAACCAAAGAGATAATGATTTTAAAGCAATTTGTAATTACGGAAAAAGTTTTACAAATAAAGATATGAATCCAATAGTTATATGTTATTTACCAGATAAAAACTTAGGAATAGGTAGAATAAGAAAAATCATGATGATGTTTGCAGAACATTTACAATTATTAAGATTTTATTTTATTGACGACGACATCGATTCGTTTTACGAATACGACAAAAGGCTACATGGAAGAGAAATTAAAAAGAGTCCTAATTTTACTTATAAGTCACTTGCATTTATGCTTAAGGTACTCAATTTTGGCTGCTCTAATCGTGACCTTTGCAACAACAAAGATCTGCATTCAAAGGAAGTGAAAGATAAAGAAGAAGCTGTAAGTAAGTTAAACAGGAGAAACTGGATGAAGAATTTAGATAAAATAAAAGATACCATAAATGCAGAAGATTCCAACACTGCTAACTTAGTTGATGAACTTTATGATATAATTGATAACAAAAAATACAACGAAGAATCTAAAGTTAAAGATCTTATTAATACTCTAATGAATCATTTGGGTGCAGATGGTGTTCTTATCTTAAATGAAATTAAAAATAGGCTATTAAAAGATAAATCAAAGATTATAGGGCAGGTGGCATTATGGAATAATGCATCTTTTAAAACATGGAGCTTTTTAGAAAAACTGATGTGTGATGTATCCAAGATGCACACTCATTTAGTGTCATACCAGCGTTATCAAGTTGTTCTATATAATTTGGACGCTATAAAAGGAATACATCCAGTAACTGATGATGTTCTATTTCAGCCGGTATTTGAAAAGCATGAAATAGTCCAACTTGCTCATATTTCAAGTAGCGCTAATCTAAATGATGCTCATGTACAAACTTCATTTACTTATGGTTACAAATGCTCGGATAAGGTTCATGTGTATTATCAGCTATTCAATGGTGTCTCTGGTTACATGGCTTACTATTATTCATTTAGAAACATGATCGGAATAAAATCTAAAGTAAACTCGGACGAGACATCTTTAGAAGCTTCAGACTAATTTTGAAAAAAGATGTTTATTGCAATTTTTATTAAAAGTTATAATTGTAATTTCAATTTTAAACTAATTTTATTTAATTATTGTAATATCTAAATATAGATATATAAACTAAAGATATATAAACAAAGTATATCAACTTATAAGTAACCTCAAAGGGGTAAATACGCATCTATGGGGAGAGCGGGTTACCCAAAAGCGTACGAACGCGTACAAGGAGGGGGGAGTGGGTGTTAAAGAAAGTGAGTACGTACGCGGTTTGACTATCGACAATATTATTTGTCACTCGATTTATTTTTTTTTCTTCTCATTATTTATAAAAGAAATAAAACAAAAATTTGTGACTAAAGTCAGAGAGATATCTTTTGTTTAGGAGAGATATTTCTCTGACGTCACTTTTTTCTCTCCTAAACTTGATTATACTTTTTATTTTTATTAAAACATTTCATGTGTGCAACAAATCAATTTTTTTTTTTTTTTTTCTTGACTTTAGAGTTGCAATTTTTTTTTTAATTTCTAAATAATAAATAGAGAAAAAAGAAATCGAGCGACAAATATTATTATTTATTATTCGCAACGTTATTAGATTGGTAGCGACGCACGTAGGAGTATTTGATGATTTTAGCTGGCCAAAATTATTTCTCTCTTTTTAACAGCTGAAAACTTTACCATATGACAAGAAATTGTAAATTAAATGTTTTTTGTTCAAATCCCAGCCAGTGGCTTCAATATAGGGGAAAGATGGGTACTTTAGGGATTACATTTTATTCTATTCATTAGGATTTGAGGAAATAAAAGATATATTATTTTTCAAACTTTATTATGGTAAATAACATACTATATTTTGATATTTAATTAGATTCCACTTTGTCATTGTCAGAATATTCTTCATTTTTGTTGTTTTCAGTGTCGGAATCTTGGACTTCTCCAGGAAGAAGCAATTCCACAGCTTCTTTTGAAAAAGGCTTTGTAAGTTTGTGTTTCTTTTTCCCAATGCTGGACAACAGAGGGTCGGATGTTAACAATAACCTATTGATGATATCTTGGTTACAATCTTTTCTAGAAAATTTTCTAGCATAGCCAAGTCTGTACTCCCGGAAATGTTTGTTTCTGGCTTCGGCAGCCTCCTCCGACAATTGTCCAATTGGCAAAAGCGCATTCTCTACTATATCAGGACCATGTACTAAAACTTTATGCAGAGTTGGAGTCATTGGACACCAGGGGTATAGTTCAACATAAAGCTTTGCAGTATCCAAAGTATACTGTCTGAACTTTTCTACATCAATTTTGTGGCCACTGGAAATTACTTCTAGGATAATTTTCATTCTGGAAATTAAACGGAAGTCTACTCCAGTGATATCTGCAGATGTTTCCGGGTCGTTGAAGAATCACCTGTTTGTGTTGCCGTTATTGGTATTCCCAAATCCAACCTTAGGTATGTCGACAAGAATGCCCATTTTGCTCTTGAATTCATCTTGGATTTTCTTTTTCCTATCTGAGATGAGTCATTCAGCCTTTTCTGCCATTTTTTTACAGGTAATTTATATGATAGGTTAAGGAGACTTTCAAAACACCGTATTCTAGCATGCAGAATGAATAGTCCAAATTTGTAGCTGCTTTGATTGTCAACACATGTTCTGTCCAAATCACAAAATTGTTTTGATGTTGCTCTACAAAAATTACATTGCATGGTCGATTTAGTGATGGTTGCTGCGTTACAGACTTTTCCGTCAATCATAGTTAACATCATCACATGTTCTACTGCTATGTCTTGAAGTTGAGTTGGTTTCAAGCCTGCAATTTTGTTTTCCATGTAAGCAATTTCTTCAGTTATTACATCAGCAGTTTCTTTTATAAACCTAATTCGAATTGGCCTGCAAAACCTTGGAGACGATGGTGTAGGGTTTTGCCAGATAACCTTTTTATTTACTCCACAAGTTAGCTGTAATGGAACCATTGAGTATTGAAATATACTGGCATCAGAATTAGAGTCATCCTCAAACTTTTGATTAAATTGTGTCTGTTGGGAGCCATCACAACCCCATTTCGTAGATAATTTCATATGTTTACGCCCACTTTCCGTTAGAGTCTTGATAACTTCTTCTAAATACAACACCAAACTTTCGGCAGTATGGTTTAACAGACTTTGTAAGTCTACTTCAGCTAAACTTTCTGTGACTGTGAACGAATCAGGATCAGGATAGCATGTTTTTTTTTCTTCGACCAAAATACTGTAGCAGGGCTATTGTCACTTGTACGTACGATTTCATATTGAGATTTTGTTAGGCCTGCGTCAGTAAATATTAAAAGAGCCTCTAACGGTGTCAATCATTTTTTTGTAGGTTCAAGACTGCTGCGATAGGCTTTTTTATACTTTCCCGCTCGTTTGGGAGATGTTTTAAGATCTTTGAGGACGGTTGCAGTACTTCTTTTGCCACTTGTTGTCAAACAAGTTTCAGCTGCAAAAACAATAGCTTCTGGCTTCACATCTTTCCTGAGCTGTTCTGTTTTTCTCCTCTTTGAACGTTCACTAGAACCGACAAAACTTTTTCTTGGTCGTCCAGCTGATGATGGAGTGGATGGGGTACCCGGTATTTGAAAACTCCCTTGCAGCCAAGGGCCATACTTCTTAATAAATATTTCATGAGTTCTGGATGAAGACGATCACATTTTTTTAAAAATAGCTTTCAACCTCGACATTTGACGCTTGTATACTGTTTTTAGTTCTTTGGTATATTGATTTCTTGATAACAAATTTTGATCAGCTAAGTCCATTTTTTCATTGAAATTTTGAGCCTCCTGCTGCTGAATACTATTGTAGAAATCCGAACGAGAGATTGTTTGCATTCCTGATGACCCATCTAAAAAAAAAAATTAATTTGAAAAATTTATCTTGGACCTTGATGTGCTTAGAACATGATTAAAATTTAGATGGCATCAACAGGCAGTTGAAATTAGGATTTTTAAATAGCTTGTGGTATAAACTCATAGAAAAACAAAAAAAACTAAAAGGGTTTCAATTCGCACTACAACTTTTTCAAATTTAAAGTCAAAATTTACTTTAAAATTCGTTAAAAAAATGCCAAGTTTCATGGTACATAACTTTTGTGGTAATTAATATTTCAAAACGGTAGTAAGAGTAAATAATGTACATACCTGTCATAGATTCATCCATGATATAACACTGTAAAACTTCTGTTGTAAACACTTGTACACAGCTTCAATAAACACCACTAAAATCGCTCGTTAATAAAATGAACCACGCAGATATAGATAGGATATTTAACTAGACTGTGTAGTTCCAATTACTACTTTTATAACCAAACCATTAACTGCTCATTAAGCAACCATTATCGAGAGATTATAAGGGTAGGTAATTAAGTGGGTACGGCCACTTTTAATAATTCCAATTTTGGCCAGCTAAAATCGTCAAATACTCCTACGTGCGACGTGAGAAGCAAATCGACTTCAAATAAAAGCAAACATTTTTAGAATTCTTTTTTTTTTAATTACTGTGCCAAACTGTTTTTAATCTTTTTTTTTTTAAATGTTAAAATATGTTGTAACATTTTAAAATTTAAATAAGTACATAAAGTAACATTTTAAGTTAGAATTAAGTACAGAGAAATGTCAAATAAACTAAATTTTTTTTTTTCTGTTTTCAATCTTATGAAATATTTACGCGTTGGAGAAAGGCAAGAAGGGGAGGGACCCTTATTTTCGAAAAAAATAATGCGTTCGTACGCGGAGGTTGGGATCTTTGATCGCGTACAGGTTTGTACAAGGTGACGGGGAGTTTAAATCAGTGGTTTTACTGTGTAGTACTTTATGGATGCCTCAAAGCCTTGTCATTACCATTATAAACTTTGACAAAAATAAGTAAAAGAATATTAAAATAACCCAGGCCAGTCTTGATTTTCAAGAGGACAAAAAAAATACCTCTATAAACTTGAAATATACGCATCGTGTAAACGATCGTGCATGAATAAAACAGCAAAATAAAGATGCAAAACAATCATATTGCTCATGGGCCGTGTTTACAAATTTTCTGATTTAAAAAGCAATGCAGTAGTAAACATTTACATTCTATTAAAGAAAATATTTCCTAACAGTGAGTAACTTTACAGAAAATAAAAGTTTATAAAAAAAGCTAGGCTTATCGATCTGGCACTTATAAGCAGGCTTGTGGAGCCGGAGCCAAGAGCCGCTGTATTTTGGTGGAGCCGGAGCCACAAAGATCGAGCAGCTCTCGGTTCTTGGGTTTTTTTTTATATAAATAGAATGCATGTTTTTTTTTACTGTACACAAACTTTATTAGTCTATTGTGTAACTAATTTTTTGAATAAATTAGTTATTGAATTTACTCAAACAGTACTCAAACAGCAAAGTTTAAGAAACTTTATAGTTTTCAGAAACATGCTTGTAGAATCATTTACTTTAAAAATAGGCGGGAACACGCAAATCCCTTGATGAAAGATATGAAAATGATGAATGTATTTGAAATAAATATCTACCAGCATTTAATTTTCATGTATCGTTACAATCACAATATCTCTCCTATAAGCTTTAATAATAAGTTTGAGTTAAATAAAAATGATAACTATAATCTTAGAGCGAATATGTTGAACACATATAAACTGCCTAGGATAATAAATAAATATTCAGAATACAGTATTTTATATCGAGGTCCAAAAGTATGGAATATTTTTCAAAAAGGGTTTAAAGGTACGGTGAGTTCATTAAGTTCATTCAAGTTTTTAACAAAAAAAGAAATCTTTAAAACCTGTGAAACATTTTTTGTTAATAATGCTTTGGATAAATTCTCTTAAATACGTTTTTGTTTTGTTTTTACTTTTGTTTGTTGCTTGACAAATTTTATTAGCGGATTACGCATTTTGTTATGATATTTTATTGAAATTTTTATTTTGTATGTCATATTACGATATTTTAATTAAATCTTGTTAAAGGGGTTCTATAAAAAGATTGCGATGACGTTCTGTCATCCTCTTCTTCTTTGAGCTCCTATCTGTTTTACTTGTTTTGTTAAATATTATATTATGTAGTGA